CGGGGGGGGGATGGGGGGAATCACAGGGGCAAGCGCCCTTCGGCGATGACAACAGCCCGGGAATAGTGTTTTCACCTCACCCTCAAGCCGACGGTCAGGGGTCGCGTGGGCGTCGCTGCCAAAAAGCAGCGGCCGGCCGCTTACGCTGCTGCATTGGAGAGCGGGCGCCAGCAAATTGATCTGAGGGCGTTATCCTTCTATAGGCCCCCTTAAGGATATACTGCCCCGGGTCCCGCGGATACCCCAGTGTTCACAGAGGATCCGGCGCATATCAGTGAGCCGACACAAGTGCGAATCCGAGTTAGTGCTCGAATACCAAAATGCTGATGCGCGCAATCAGGCTGGCCCCCAAGGGCTGGTATGTGGAGCAAAGCAGCACAACCGTGTCCAAACTGTTGTAATCTTGACACCCCCCTTCGGGGGGGCTTGGAGAAAAAAGTGCCTTAGAGTTCCCACGCGGAAAAAAAAGCACTAGGGCGTTTGCGCGAATTGGGGGACGCCGGCTCGAGTACGTTGGACGCTCCCTGTATATACCCCTCGCGGCCCCCGCGGGCGCGGGGCTCGCCAATTCTTATATTTATTGGGCCCAATATTATTATTGTTGCCCCCACCGCAAAAAGTGCCGTTGACTATTAGCGTCGCCGCCCGTTTATACAGGCCGGAGCCCCCGCTTTTACACTCGGGAATAAACACACCAGAAAAACACTGTGTGCATAGAGGTATGGGGAAGTTTGCCAGGGCTTAGGGAGGCCACGGATAGCCGGGCAACAATACACATCTAGGGCGTATACTTGACTCTACTGCGTCTCCCACACTTGTAGTACATGCAGCGGCTAGTGGTTTCACAAATCGAATTCGAAAAGGGATCGGGTGTTACACACTTTCCTATTAGAATCAAGTAGGGCATTCGGGGATAGATATATCACATTCGGCGGAATCCGGGGCGTTTATATGACTGGCAATACGGTTTCCATAGCGAACAGCGTTTGTATTGTGTTTAGCGTAGCTGTGTGATTACCATGTTCGGGTGCTCCCCGGCGAAGCCGGGGAGGGTAGGGGTGGGAGCGCCGTGGCGCCGGGTTCGCACCGGGCCGCACTCCCGTGGGCAGCTGCCAAGTCCCCGTAGGGGACGTCAGGTTACCGTGGCGAAGCCACGGAAGGTCGACTCCATTTGAGATACTTTGTATCAAAGAGGTCCCGCACCCGAGGCGAAAGGCGCCCCGCCCCTATCGGAGCCCTGCAGGACACTTGGCGGGCCTTTGTGCTCTCAAGGCTGTAATGACAAACACAGCCCCAGAGGGCAGGCGGGTACCACCGGCGACCTGTATGATCTTGGCCGCCCCTCATGAACATGAATAGCTCTCGATAGATGTTGATAAATCTGGCTAAAATAGTAATGTTGGCGCTGGCGCCAGGGGTGTGCCTGGTGCAAGAAGCCCCTTACGGGGGCGTCATTGCGTTCAAGGCACCGCTTGCAAGCCGCCCGTAGGTCCCCTATAGGGGCGAGCACAGGGGGTCCCTGTTCAATATTTCTGCGACCCTACAACTGGAAGATCACCCCCTCGCTCACACAACCCCCGCCCCTATAGGGGCCCTAGATCCCCCTGCCCATATTTATGCAACCCTGGCATCGGTCGCGCAAGCGCCCCCCCCGTCTCTGCCGGGATCCAGACAATCGGACTACGGGTGATTTGTAGCGCCCTTAATGTTTGAGTGAGTGCACGCGAACATCCTAGTGGCACGCTCGTGAGCGGGCAAATAAAATTTTGGTTCGCGGCTGTTTAAGCTCACAAACGCTTAGTAATCGTCGGGTTGGCCTAGAGGGCCCAAAACGCGCCCAAGTTACGGCGGGTGAGCACACGCTGCAGGGTCGGCCCCTCTACGGTTGCCTTGATCACGCAGGTCTTTTACATTCGGGAATAAAGAATGGGAGAATAGTTTAATCGGCAGAACATTGGTCTTCAAAACCAAAGGTTAGGGTTCGACTCCCTATTTTCCTGTACGCCCGAATTACGGGGTCGCAACCCCCCCCCCCGGTTAGGCAAAAAGTAGTGATTCTGTGCCTTGGACCCCGTGCCTATTACCGAGCAAGGGGTTACAATTGACGTGGGAACTGATTGAGCGCAGTGAGCCACCTTCGGTGGCAAGTATTTATTTTATATGACTGCGACAGTTTTGCTGCGCAACTAGTGTGATTGCTCGACTCACATGGGTATTTCCGAGTATTCCCAGGCGGGGCGGCAAGCGTTTCTGATCCCCTCACCCTCCCCGAGTGGACAATACGAGAGTTCTCGCAGGCCGGCGCTGAAAACCGGGAAAACCCCGGTCGGGTCGCAGAAATCTGGCCAGGGCGGGGCGGTCCCAACCCCTTCAGTTAGCCCCTACGCCCTGGGCTAGGGAGGACGCCCTTTAACCTGTGTAACCACGCCACTCGTGGGCACCGTGGCGCCCCGGACGCGAATCAGGCCCGCAGGTCACTCTGGTTGCACCAGCTTATCTTGGCGTTTACTTCGTGAACGCTTGCTAATTTGTTTTGCATACCAGAAAGAGGCAAAAAAAGCAATGACTCCCCCGTAGGGGGGGGCAAATATAAATAAAATAAGAATAAGTAATCGATCCAGCTGCCCGTTCCCGTACAGCTACTGTGTTTCGACTTCATTCAAATCACCGGACACAGATACGAGACGGGCGCCATAAAACAGACGCACCACCTCTTGGACCGCATACAACTTTTCGAACGTGACGAGCGATGAGTACACAGCTCAGTGACATATTCACCGCGGCGTGCTGATCCGCGATTACTAGCGACTCCGACTTCATGTTTTCGAGTTGCAGAGAACAATCCGAACGATGATGACTTTTTAGGTTTCGCTCCAGCTTGCGCTATCGCATCCCTTTGTGGACACCATTGTAACACACCGAGTAGCCCAACCCATCAGGGCCATGACGACTTGACGTGATCCCCGCCTTCCTCCTGCATATCGCAGGCAGTCGTTTGAGAGTAGCTTTTTGTTTAGCAACACAAACCAGGGGTTTCGTTCGTTGCAGGAATTAACCAAACGACTCACGCCACGAACTGACGACAGCCATGCAGCACCTGTGAATTGTTGCGGGGTTCTCCGAGCGAGCGGCCGCTTTTTCGGAAAAAAAAACCATTTTGTGATTACAGCAAGTGCTCGAATTCATGTCAAGGGTTGGTAAGGTTTTGCGCGTTGTTTCGAATTAAACGGCATGTTCCGCCGCTTGTTTGAGCTACCGCCAATTCCTTTGAGTTTTAGTCTTGCGACCGTAGTCCCCAGGCGGAGTGTTTAACGCGTTAGCTACGGCTCTGCCACACGGCAAAACCTAACACTCATCGTTGACGGCGTGGACTACAGGGGTATCTAATCCCTTTTGCTACCCACGCTTCCGCACCTCAGCGTCAGTATTGATCAAGAGAGCTGCCTTCGCTTTTGATGTTCCTTCTAGTATCTACGAATTTTACCTCTACACTAGAAATTCCACTCTCCTCCGTCAAACTCAAGCAGACCAAGAGAACCGCTGCGCCATGGGTAAGCCGTGGCAGAGAGCAATACCTTATGTCTACCGCCTGCGTGCCCTTTACGCCATAGTAAAACTGGGTAACGCTTGCACCCCCTGTCTTCGACTTGTCCACTGGTTTCCTAGTGGATCAGACTATGCCTTCAGCTCACTACCAAACGTAGGTATTTTTATCCCGAGAAAGAGTATATTCGGCTGGGACATCAGAGGTGGCTAGACCACTATTAGAGTTAGATGCAGATGGAATCGCGCGTGCCACGAACTAGGATGGCGCTTGCCCCTGTGATTCCCCCCCCGTCCTATTTATATGGCTATCCGTTACTATTTTCGAATGTCGATCATGCACAAGCTTCTAGCTTCTATCGCGTTTGGTGGATCACCGACCCCTTCGGGGTCGCTCTCGAGCAGGCCTCCCGTAGGGGGTGTGAAAAGAATCACTCTCCCACCGCTTCGCTGTATTTTGTAATCTGATCTGTGTTCGATTGGGGGCAGGCATATTAATATTTCGAAACCGTGGTCTGCAATTTAATCTGCTTTTAACTCTAATAGTGGCATAACCACCGGTACGCAACCCGGGCAAAGGGCCCCCTCATGTAAATAACAGTTGAATAGGACGGGGGGGGGGATCACAAGCGCCAACGGAAGATTCAACACTAGCTTACCCCCTCCCCTCTGGGGGAGTTCTTCGGTTTTTTTTTTACCTTTAGCTCACTGCGTTGTTCGTGATACGTCGGTAGGAGGGGCTACCCGTCCTCGAGCCCCCGGTCGGGCGCAAGGCGACGGTAGATATGGCCCCCACCAGGACGCTGGAAAAAACACGCTCTTTGCGCGATCAAATTTCGCAGGCAGTGTGCTATTTATATTTGGCGGAAACCAGTGAGCGCCAGCGTATTAGCCCGGCGCCTATCCCGCCGTAGCGGGCGCGACGCTGCGAACTCTTCTCTTTCGAGTCAGTCGTTACAAGGTTTGTATAAAGCAGACCCCTTGGCGCTAGCGCGTTCGGGGCCGTAATACCCGGCAACGCCGGGGAGGTTTCTACGATATACAAACTTCCCACGGCGTTGCCTTGCTGAAACTGAAACCGCCCTCGGGGGATTTACAATCGCGAGCTTCGCCAACGCAAGAAACACCGGTGTACACACACACGGACCAGCGAAGCAAGCGACCGGTGGTTACCCCAGACTGTCAGGGCAGCCTTTAGTTTAGGTTTCGCCGTTACCCGGCGATCGGCGCAGCCGATCGAAGGCCCCACGCACCCGGCCGAGCTTTAAGCACAAGTCTGGGAGCTTATTGCCTTGCCACTAAATGTGGGATGAATGCGTGGATTGAGCTGGATTTTGCACGGGCGGTCGCCCACCCGAGGCGGCCAGACAAAAATCAGACCGCGGCTGCTGGCACAGAGTTAGCCGGTACTTATCGCCCAGTCGTGGTGACTGAGCTTTAGAGCTTTACGACTGCGTCGGCCTTCTTCACTCACGTGGTGTGGCTCGATCAAGCTTTCGCTCATTGTCGAATCTTATCCACTGCTGCCGCCGAGGCGTGTGGACCGTGTCTCAGTTCCACCGTGGCCGGCCCCCCTCTCAGGGCGGCTAAGGATCATTGGCTTGGTGAGCCGTTACCACACCAACAACCTAATCCTACGGGAGCTCTTCCTCCAGCGAGCGCAAAAACGTGACCCGCACTTCACGTACACAATCGACCACCCCCCTGTGCAATTGCCCCCGACCGGGACAATTGCAAAAGCCCCCGACCGGGGCCATGGGCAAGCCGGGATAAACTGGGTAAACCGGCTTCCCGTAGGGGGGCTGAGCCCTTTGGATCGCGTATGGCAAGCAAGTTAGTAGTGCCCTTCATGCAGAGGGTTCAAAATCTTTTAGTCTCGCCGCCTATTACGTTTGGTGGTACCCACGGCAGAGTCGGGGCGGCCGGATCGACCCGACCAACCGCTAATAATTTCACCAGTAAAAAACGCTCTTTTAACCATCGTATTATTCAGGATTACCCAAACTGGAGGGTAGATTCTCGCGCATTACTCACTCGTTCGCGACGGTACTTGACCCCACCAGAGGTGGAGCAAGCCGTTCCACTCGCATGTGTCTATACCCACCACTAGCGTTTACCCTTGGGCAGGATCAACCCATTCATACATACATTTACAATTTACACTCGCCCGTACCCAGGCTCGACCCCGCGTTTGGCTGCCGGGGCGGGTTGGCGCGTTGGCAGCGCAGCTGCTATCGAAGCGGTGGGCACCCGGGTTCGCGAAGCGAACAAAGGGGCGTGAGCTCAGGAAAGGCAGGCCGGGGGGGGCCTGTGCTTGCACACTGGTGTGCCAGGGGACGACCTTTGCGATGGGCTTGCCCGGGTCCCCCCGGCCTGTACAGCCGGGGGGGCCCTCGCTACCGCCACCGCACAGCGCGCTTACCGCCGTCAGTTTTAGGCTTCTGGCCGGGGGGGCTCTGCTGCGCTGGACATTGTGCGCTGCGCGCACAATTATCGCGAACCGTCGCTAGCTGCTTGCGCAGCAGCGCGCTGCGCGCGCCCTTGGCCCCCCTCGGGGGAATGCCCAACTCTGCTGGGCTTGGGGGCACGGATCGCTGCCCAGCTTTAGCGTGTGCGCTTCGCGCTGTATCTAAAGGACGATTCACGATGTTCATCGTGGCCCCAGGTAAGGGGCCGGGGCAAGCCCCTCGAAGCTAAAGTTCGCTTCTCGGGGTGTTTGAACACCCTATATGTCAATTAACTTTCAAATCAGACATATTTGAAGAGTGCGGGCGGTTTCACGGTATGCTAAAAATGCCCATTTTTCGGGGACCGTGAAACTTGTCCGGGTAGGCTTCAAGGGGGGAGCACAATCCGGTGGAATTGAAGGGCGAAGGCGCGAAGCGCGAATCTGCGCCTTTCAAGGCGTCGTTCGCGCACAGCGTCGGCCCTAAGTTTTAATAGCTGTGCTACAGCCCCTAAGGCACTCACAGGCGTAGAGCCCCCCTGGCAAGCGCAGTGTGTGCTGCCGGTCGGCAAGCACGCAGTGTAGCCAGACCCTTTTGAGGTTGGACCGTGGGACGCACGCATCACATCCCGATAGCCCTGGCCGGGGATAGACCCCCTTCGGGGGCTTGACTGCTGGGGCCTTCGGGGCCACAGGTATATTGGCCCGCTTGCTCCCAGCAGCTATTGATGGCGCTTGCGCGATATGTTGCACCAACTTGCGACTAAAAAACATGCGGAGGCAGGAGTCGAACCTACAATCTCCGGGGCATGAGCCCGGCGAGACAACCATTTCTCTTCTCCGCGGGGTGCCTGAGGGGCTCCCGAGTAGTGGCTAATGTTAGCTGGCCACCAGAGCGGGCCAGCTAATCTCCCGGCGGCCGCAAGGCCAAATCAGACGCGAGATTAGGCTTCCTGAAGGGGTCCCCAAACTTCGGGTGTAGGCTCGTGTCTATTGCTGCGCCTGTTGCGGCTACGCCGGTTTTTAATTGTCCTTCGGACAATTTTTACGCCAGCGGGAATAAGCACCAACCCGAGGCGCCTATTTTTTGTCGGCTAATTAAAAATAAGTTTGTTATACTGCGAATAGAATTAAAAACACTACCATTAAGGCGAACAACGCGATAGCTTCGGTTAACGCGAAGCCTAATATTGCATAACCAAACAGCGCTTTTGTCAACGAAGGGTTTCGTGCCACTGCGTTGATCAGTGACCCAAATACAATACCTATACCAGCACCAGCGCCCGCGAGCGCAATTGTTGCACATCCTGCACCTACTAATTTTGCTGCTTCTGTCATGTGTTTGTTGAATTTGAAATCACACAACACAATATAAAATTGTACTACCCAACCTAGGATGGTCGGCAAAATTGGGCACGTTACGCCATTAGAGCCCCGGGGCTGTCCTGTAGACAAACAAAAAATGGGCTAGTGGAAATCGCCTATCCCCGAACGGTCGCGCGCTGCGCGCGGCAACGATGCCCTGCACGGCCCACCATTTCTGCGACCCTGCCAAAACTTGTCGCGAGATACGAGCAACATGCGCCAAGGTTGTATACCTGCCGCTCTCGTGCGCTGCGCGCACCCTGGTCTATCGGGCGTGCCGCCTCTACAAAGGGGTCCCGGGATCCGCGGCAGTGTACAACTATTTTTCTAGCCATCACTAGAAAAATAGTAGTTTCACTTTTATTGTACCGGGTACCGGAATATAATATTGGCCCCCTTTGGTGAGCCTCATATCAAGGGCGCAACACACAAACCTATTCACAGCTCTGTTTGCTTGATTCGTGATATGCGAAGGTTGTTAGCCCGGGTGCGGATCGCTTGCCGGGTGCTTGCAATGGATTCAGATTATTAAACGCCCCTGATAGATTGTTAATACAAGCCTCAGTCGCGTACGCACTTTCGGGGCCACAGGTAAATCATTTTCCCCCGTAGGGGGCATTGATTTGTCCCCCGGCGTATGTTGGACCTGCCGTGGGCCGACCATACTGGCCGCCCCGATCAGCACAAGGCGTGGGGCAGCCGCGGGCACTGGACTGACAGACACTGAACAACCTCAGTTATTTAGTAAACGATGAGAAATCACTCCCAGGATACCGCGAAACCGTGGGCCAAGCCAGCGAGTGTGCGAACGCCTGATGGCCTAAGGCGACCTGTCGTAACCGGCCCCATATTGTTAATTGCGAGCCTGATTTTGCGCGCTTCCAGAAAAGGCGCCCCCGCCAACCGACGTTCACCGTTTCGTTACCAATCATTCGCGACTTAGACCACTGGCAGGGGTGTTGGCGCTTGCCCCCACTCCCCCCCCCCGACCCAATTTGTCTTGTCCACTTGTCACTCACACCCGGTCGCGGCCCTCCGAGGGCTCAGGCCCTAGGCTACACTGAGCGTATAATGCCCGGCATAGACGGGCACCGTTGGCGCGGGAAGCGCGCGCTCGTTTCTATCGCCTTTGGCGAAATGCCGTGGCCCCCGAAGGGGTTATAAAAAGGCTAGGGTTTCGCCAAAGGTGATGGCTGGCGCGAACCACGGGTATGTTTGCGACCCTTGGCCCCGCCAGCCTGTTTGCCAGCGCCCTTCGGCTAATCCGCGTGTCCCGGGTTGTTCAGTTTGTCATAATTACCCAAAATCCCCCGACCGGGGCCGAGCGAGTGTTAAAGGTAAAAGCCCGAAGGGGCCGGTGTGTACACAGTTTAGCACTAGTACAACACTTCGCTACTTCGCTAACAGTAATGTCATATAAATAGTCATACCCGTTGGGCTCGCGGTCGGCGAGCAATTAGAATATTCGCGAGCAAAATCAGCGTGGCAACCTAACGTGGTTTAAAGATGCGCCTACTGCCCACTTTCGGTAGCAACGCCCCATACACAGATTGCCCCAATCTAGGGGGCTTGGATGTGCGATCGTGCCCTCCAAATATATTGTATTGCCGGGGGGCCCTTTGACTATCAACTGTGGCGGAAATTACCCACCCTGTGGGGAGTTTAATGTACCGGGTGCAAGGCGCCAGTTTTGTTCCACATCCCCACCTGTACTTGGGCGCATCCTGCAAACCCGGGTGTTATGCGGTACCTAAATGACTATGGGAAACACTATAGACCACCCGTATGGGGGGGCTAGCCAATAGGTCGGGGGGGGGAATGGGGGGAATCACAGGGGCAAGCGCCCTTCGGCGAGTCGGTGACCAGGCTGTCCCGGAAAGCATATATGTCCAACACTGATTATCTGTAGCCGAAGTAACAGAGGCTAGTCCTTGGGCGATCGCCGTACCCTTATGCCCAGAGGGGAAGCCGCTACGACCATCACTTGTAAAAGTATTATAAATCCGAGACTTTTTTGTTCGATTGCCCCCTCGGTAATTCTGTTCTACTCTACAAAAGCTCCCTGAGCCACGGTCCGCGGACAGGGTCACAGAATTGAACCAGTGTGCGACCCCTGTCGGCGAGCCTGGGCAAGGGGCCCTTGATTGTCCAGTAGGGGGCCGGCCTGTCTGCAACAAAACCTGGTTTTGCCTCCACCCGGTCGCCTTCCGCAAGTCCGGGGGGCACAATAAAACCTGCGAGGCCAACAAGCAAATTGCGGCCCCCTTGCAGGGGGCCCAAGGTCACCGTCGCACTTAGCACCCCTGCCTAATGAACTCACCAGGCGTCGGTCGCGGGTTCTTATTTACGTTTACCTGTGGCCTGCTGCCGTTTGCGGTGGCTACAAATCTGATCGGCGACGGATACTCTGACAGGGGCGGCTGCCCGAACAATGGTGGCTCTGGTACCGTCGTGCCCGTAGGCTTGTCGGACCACGGAAAATATTACCCGACAGCCAGTGCGACCTTATCCCCACGGGACCTTGCACCGGCGACCCCGCGGGGCCTTTCGCTCACATAATGCCAGTACACGAGTGCCGAACTTTATGAACCCGTAAATTTTTGCGACCCACGATGGCGCGTTGGCAGCGCAGCTGCGCTAGCGCGGTTTTTTCGGCGTAGCCGAGTACATGCCTGCCGATAACCGTATTTGCACATTAACCGGACAGAATTACTATGCCCCCGACCGGGGCCCAGGCTACAGTCGCTGGGTCAAATTACCTTCGGCGAATCTTTGCTAGCTCGGGAATTATCAGCTTTTGGCGACCCCAACCGGTCGGTAAAGGCTCCCCCCGGTCGGGGGCTTTTA